TTTTTTTTTTTAAATACTCACAATTCAAAGTAAATTTTTATCAAAGACTTATGTATTAAAAGCATTATGGTCTCTGAGCCAATACTTTATTTATAGTAGGAATATCAATTAATGTCGGTAATTGTTGGTACTTAAGGTCTTTTCAAATGTAACTGATGGCAAAATTTAAAATTTAAAGGAAGAAAAAAGTCATATAAAGGGAATTTCATTAGCATCCATGAAGGCAGGACCCCTTGAGCACTAAACTTAAGTACACATTTTACACATTTTAAACAAGTACACATATAGGAAACTTACTTAGTAATTATGAACTCCATCCTCGGCTTAAAGCTTAAAGAATCTAAATTCAGTCCTACAGTGACTAAAGCAACAATGCCTGACATTCCCAAAACTTCCACTGGGGAGAAAAAAAAAAAAAGAACATTGAATGAAACTAAATGCATTCAAATCTGCACACTGAGGTACTTTATCTTGAGTAAAGAATTGGTGGGAAGCTTGAGAGCAGTATTTCTTGGAGAGTTGCTTTAAGGGATTGGCCTAATCCTGTACATTAGGGGCTGGCAAACTTTTTCTGTAAAGGACCAGATACTAAGTATTTAGTCTTTGTGGGCCACAAGGTGCCTGTTGCAACTGCCCAACTCAGCAGTTGTGGTGCAAAAGCAGTCACAGATAATAAGTAAACGAATGAGTGTCCAATTAAGCCTTATTTACAGACACTAAAATTTGAATTTTACATAATTTTTACATGCCACAAATATCCTTCTTTTCTGTTTTCTAAACCATTTTAAAATGTAAAAACCATTCTTAGCTAACAGACTGTCCAAAAACAAAAGGCAGATTTCGCCCATAGGCCATTGTCACCCCTGCTGCAGACCATCATTGAGGATAGGCCTAATGGAAAAGTAAGTTTCACAGCCTCTGCTCAGCACCTCAGGGATGCTGTGCTGCATGTGCTAGGTAGGAGTTGGGGTCCAATGCCTGTGCTTTCTTGGTGACTGTAGTTCCTGAAGCCTGCTTTTTTTTTTTGCTGATATCAACCTTGCTAATTAAAGTTATCACTCATCTGGCTCTAAACAAATGTGCAAACGTAGTCTGAGGCAGGAAAACCAATCATGAAGAATGTTTGGATACCATAAATGCCAACAGTCCTAGGCTGCCGAGTCTTCAAATATCACATTATAAACATTAGACAGAAAGGAAGGGAAAGAACAAATCATGAAGAATGTTTGGATACCATAAATGCCAACAGTCCTAGGCTGCCGAGTCTTCAAATAGCACATTATAAACATTAGACAGAAAGGAAGGGAAAGAACAAGACAGGTAGGAACGGAAGGGCTTTGGAGCAGGACAGAGCTGGTTGCTCTTGGAATGTGACCTCCTCTTTCTCCATTAGTGTCCCTGCATCTGTAAAATAGGTGTAAAATAGTAATGCCTCATATAGTTGTGGAGTTTAAATTAGATAACATGTAGCTTGGCACACTTTTAAAGCAATAAATAAACGATAATCATTATTATTATTATGCTATTAATTGTTTTTATCTATTCACTTTATTGCTTAATAAATCAATACTGGTGTTTAATTTAAAGAGGATTTTATTATTCTTTTGGTTTATTTAATCACTTAAGTTCACTTTAGACTTCTTTTACCTACTCGTTTGAATAACCAATGTCAGTAAAACCAGTAGTGCTGCAAACTGTGATGACAGAGGAGCTGTCAAAATCTTATTCCCAATTCTCTTTAATTAGTGTTATTGGATTTTAAAGCTCATCATAGTCTTTTTCATTAACAGTCACTAGAGACAATATCTGCTATGAGGAAAACACTAAATAATTTTATGTAAAAACTGATATCATTTTATCTAGTATAACCCCAATGTTGTAGGGATATATGGTGTGAGTGCATCCATTAATACATGTATGTATGTATTAATATGTATCCATGCACATATTAATATATGTATGTGTACTTTTTTTAAAAGCCTGGACATATACCAAAATGTATCTGTGGTTAAATTTATAACATGGGTTTATAGATAATTTTTTTCTTCTTTGGCTTTTCAGAATTTTTCAAAAATTTTAAAATAACATGCATTACTTTTATAATTGGAAAAACAAAGTCTTTTAAAAATTACAAATGCTATTACATTAAATGTATTTGAAAGGTACCAGAAGTGGGGAAAAGGTCATGGAACATAAAATAAAATAAATTTTATCAGCATAAACCCAAGTAGTTAAAAATGGAGTTGTAAAGTTTTTCTGACACAACGGAAAGAAATGATCACAGAAAACTGGTGTTGAGGACATGCAGCGCTCTCTCTCTCTCTCTCTCTCTCTCTGCTTTAGGAAAAGTAAAGGTCCTCCTGATAGGAGACTCAATGGGATTTTGTTTAACTGGACTTAAGCCAGTTGACAGTGTGCTCATTAGTGAAGGAAAGAACAAAATTGGATATGACAGAAATGGAACAATTAGAGGATGTCTAAATGAGAATTTTATCTATGTTTTTAGATTTCTGGCAATTGAACTTCTCCTTATAACAGTGTCTGTTTCTGATTTTATTGTCAGGAACTTATTAAGTGTAGGAGTGAAGGACTGCCTGAGGTTGTTTTTTAATTCCTGAAGCAGAGGAAAGTGTCATGGAGGAGGGACGTATACTGGTTTCCTGGGGCTTCCATAACAGAGTACCACAAACTGGTTAGCTTAAACAACAGAAAGTTAATGTCTCACAGTTCTAGAGGCCCAAAATCCAAGATCAAGGTGTCCACAGGGTTGGTTCCTTGTGAGGAAGGGCTGCAAAGGAGAATCTGCTCCAGGCCTCTCTCCTGGCTTGTGGCAGCCTCGGGCAGTCCCTGACTTGCAGCTGGCGTTCTCCCTGTGTCTTCACACTATCTTCCCTCTATGTGTGACTGTCTCTGTGTCTACATTTCCCCTTGTTAGAAGGACACAGTCATAGTGAATTGGAGCCCACCCTAATGACCTCATTTTAACTTGATCATCTGCAAAGACACTAATTCCAAATAAGGTCACATTCACAGGTACTGGGGGTGAGGATTTCAACATATTTGGGGGGTACACAATTCAACCTATAACAAGAGGCTATCCAGCAAGCTTTCATCCTGAGTAGGGGCACAGTGCTATCTTGATGCTACAAAGAATCACTGGTTGAAGTATTTTTATCCCACGAGAGTCCCAACTCTGGGATGTATTTAAGCCTGAGTGATTAATGCTAAATTCTTACCCTCTCTCACTGATTCACAACCTGCAGCAACTCTTACCTGGACAAATGCAACCTAGATTAAGATATTTCCTCTCTGTTGCTGGCAGATACAATCTCAGAGGAATAATTTCTAGGGAAAATCATCAATCTCTTTAGGGCTGATTCTTAGAGACTTGTACCTGCTCAGGAAAGCTCGTTGTTAAATTTTCAGTAATTTTGTGAGCCAGCTTTTGATCAAAGCCATCTTTAAAATCAGCCATGGTGGGTGTATTGATACCATGAAAATTGGCAAACACTGCAAATCAGGGCTTTTTTTCTCCCCAGAGAGCCAGTTTACCGCCCTACCACTGCCTAACTCAATCTCCTCATTCTACAGGTTGAGGGAACTGAGGCTCAGAGAAGCTAAAGTACTTGTGTGAAGTAATATGGCTAGTTGGAGGTAGAGCTGACACTAGAACCGAGGTGTTGGCTCAGTTCTCTACACTCTCTGCCTCCCAAAATCTATTAAACCACAAATGGCTCAATTGTTTAAAGATCCCATACTCTACAGCTATGTGAATTAAATGCCTTCACAGAAATCAGCTGCAGGGCTGGCAGTTTGGCTCAGGCGATGGGGCATAGCTCAAGGGTTTGGATCCCCAAACTAGCCAGTGGCCAAAAAAAAAAGAAAAAAAGAAATCAACTGCAAATATTTTACATTGCTGCTTGGTACAAAATTATCAGACCTCATAATCCTTAAATAGTCATACATTTTGCTGAACTTTTGAATTGAATTGAGCTGAATTAATCTAGCTTTTTGGTTGCATATCTGAATGAGCATAAGGAATCCATTCTACTTAACTAGATGACATCTCTACCCAACTTAAAAAGTTGTATGTCAGCACTAGGAGTCTTCTAACGTGGTAGGGATGTTAAAGGCTCTAAGGAATCCCATCCTGACCCCCTGACCCCAATTCACACCCATAAACATCCCGTCTAGCAGGATGTCAAGCACTAATTTCCATGTTTTAGAAAGAAAGGGAAAGAGAACCACCACTTATTGACTGCCCTATTTTGAGCCCAGTGGCGTGCTGGTAAATGTTTAACACCAGGTCTCTGGGAATAAAAATGATTTGCAGTGTCTTCCAATTTCCATGGTGTGAAGACTCCCACCATGGCCAGTTTCAACCTACCAACATAACGTCACTTGAACATAGAGTTGGGAAGAGGTGTCCATAATCAGCTCTGGCTCTCGCAAGCCAGTAAGAGCTATCTCCAGCACACCAGCATGAGCAAATCATATAACACACATGATCTCATTAATGCTGCAATACTCTCTATAAATTAGGTGCTATGAAACCACCTTTATAGATGAAGAAACTGAAGCTTAGAAAGGTTAAGTAATTTTCCAAGGTCACCAAGCTAATAAATTACAGAGCTAGGATTTGAACTCAAATCTGCCTAACTCCGAAACTCTTCAAAGACTAGAATCAATTTATAAAACCAACATGTGCTAAATTACTATCCAGCAGATGGCAAGATCTGAGCTTGGCTAAGGGAAGATAGAAAAGAGAACAAAAAAATTTTTTTGACTAAGAGACAACCTCCACCTCAAGGAACTCACAATCACGTAGAGAGGGAGATCAAATTAAAATTTTTTCTTCAGACATTTAAGGCATCCATAAAAGCTTAACAGGAGAAAAAAAATAAAGAAAGTTGAAGGAAATGAGCCTTCAGTGAATATTGTCTATGATTTTACTGATTCAGGGCAGTGAGCAACCCACAGGTGGCGATGTATCTGTAGAAGAAACAGAGCTTTTAGGTAACTGGAGGTGAAAAGAGGAGTAATTAACCTCTTGATAACTGAATTCTTTCATGACAGAAGTTGCTTTACTTCCACGATGAGAACAAAAGCAGAATTTGACAGTTTGGCCATACTTACTATGTCTCTTGAGGACTGGTTACCTCGGTCCGGCTAGCAAACACTTTAATTCCCAATTTCACTGGACTAAACTAGCTGAAGGTCCACCAGTGCTGGGCACTCTTACTTCTGCAATTATTCTGTTCGCCTGCTTCTCTTCCAGACATAAATATACCCAATTTCTCCCTTTCCTTTCCTGCCTCTGAGCCTCAGGTAAGGACTGCCATTTTTACAGTCCCCTCAATTTGGTGCCCATTGAATTAAAGGCTGTTGGGCTGGAGAAGACCTCAGAAGCATCTCTCCCAACTTATTCGTTTTACAGATGGGTTGCTCAGGGTCAGGGCAGGAATGAGCTGAATGTTGACTCTGCTCCCAGGGGGCTGCCAGTGATTACATATAAGGTCAAAGAGTACAGCTCAGAAACGATAAGAGACTAGCCACAGAGAGCAGTGCAAAGGGGAAGGGGCAGGGAGTTGAAATAAAGAGGATGTTAAGAGAGACCAGAAAAGAGCTGGAGGTGGCAGTAAGATGACAAGACACACAGAGGGGCCAACAAAAAAGGGGGAAGTTATTGGGAAGAAGTAACTAGATTCAAGATCAGGGGAAATATTTATAAAGCTTACTTTGAGGATAGCATTTTTTGTATTTGTTTCTGTCTTACCAATGTAGAAAGTCATGTACACCAATGAAAAGCAGAGAATGACATTAGTCAGCGTATTGCTAAAAAGGTCAGTCAATATAAACTGAATGATTCTTGCACACCAATATCCACATATTATACTTCCAAAAATGTCAAGGAAGAGTCCCATGACTACATTTAACTCTAAAAGAAAAGAAAGAAAAATAGAAAATAAGACACAAAATGTTGAGATATAATTTTTGGTTTCTTTCCTTGATGGCATTTGGGTCTGTGCACTTTGGTTCACTCTTGAGATTTTGACTGGGGACCTCATTCTTCGGCAGATGGGGGTGTCCCATGAAAGCCTGGCAAAAGACTCTCTCAGGATATCCTTCCCTTCTAGTCTGCACCTTGAGGTTTGCTTATCCAAGGACAGAAGATTCAAATGTCCTCAGGAGGCAGGCAGAGAACATAAATGTATAAAACCTGTGACAAACTAAAGAATGAACATTCAAACAAAAGACATCCAAATTCAAATTTTTTTACAAACTATGGCAGGGCCAAGCAAACCATGCCAGGGTCCCTGCCAACCTGCAGTCAGTCAGTTTGTGACTCCTGCCCCCAGCCCAGGGTGCATTTGCAAAATAAAAAGAGGAAATTTTCATTAGTGACTATAACTCAGGGCACTAGCAGCTATAAGTGGGTAGGTATCAGGGTAGTCCTAAATAATGAAGTCCTAAATGACAAAAATTGTCCCACCCAAATGTCTATACTTTCCTCATTGAGAATCACTGCAAACCCCTCTTTATCCACCAATATTTCTCTCTCCTTTTAGCCCCTCCCTCCTCTTGCAACTATCACAAAAATATATCAGGAGGACACCTTTTCCCCTTTCATGCCATGACTTTTTTCCCCTTTCTTCTCTAGTAGTACCACATCTGGAAACCTAGCAAGGCAACATGCTCCATATCCCAGTGGGCTTTAGCCACATGAATCCGGCTATTGTCACTTCTAGGACCTGACTCTCCCGTATTGCTTGAACCATTCTGCTTTCACCCCTAGATGCAAATCCAGGACAAGCCAATTCTTAACATCCACTCATTGAGATCTAGATTGATCCAGGATAAAAGTAAATCTGAGCCAGCTGACACAATTTTTGTATGTGTGCACGTATGCACTTATGTATATTGAGGGAGATAATTTTTTTTAACATTCTTTCCCTCTTAATGTTTCCTCCATGAAAATATATAGATAGTAATTGTTTTCTTGTTATTTGATATGTCATTTTAAATGGTCCAAGAATAAAGTAGAGGGAAAGCAGCAAAATTAAGACATCTTGAATGTATTTTAATTTCAATAAGAATGATTTTAAAAAATATACAAACCAAAAAAAAAAAATGCCCTTACCCCTAAACATAGAAATGTGGACTGTGGTGCTCCGAAAAAGTCCAAAAATAATGCTTGTGATGCCAGAAAAGATCAATGATTCTCCTCTAATGATATCAGTATACATTTTAGAAATGCCTGGAAAAGGAAATAGAAAATATAATTTGGTGTGCTACATGAAAATTATGCTCTTGCACAGGAAACAGAAAGAGAAGAGAAGGAACAGGATACAAAAAAGAAGAAGGCATCCATGACTGGGATGGGTCTGTAAGGCGATCACAATCGCCATTTTCAAATTTCTCTGTTGTGCCTTCTGTATTTCCAACAGCAAAGGAACTTGGCAGTAGCACTCCTTATATGCCCATTGCCTTGACCGTGCTCAGACTTCAGGAGACAAACACTTCTCAGGACACCACATTTCACCTGAATAAACATGAATCAGACTCCAAAAGAACCTCATTTTAGAAACAAAATATGACCCAGCAATCCTACCCCTAGGTATACCCAAGAGAATTGAAAATGTATGTCCACACAAAGTTTTGTACACAAATGTTCATAACAGTGTTATTCATTATTGCCAAAAAATGAAGACAACTCAATGTCTATCAGCTGATGAGTGGATAAACATGTGTGGTATATCACTACAAAGGGACATTAGTCCTCCACAGAAAGGAAATACTTACTGAAACATGTTACAGCATAGACGAAGCTTGAAAACACTATTCTAAGTGAAAGAAGTCAGACACAAAAGCTATATATTATATGGTTTGATTTACATGAAATGTCCAGAATAGGCAAATACATAAAGACTAAAAATAGATTACTGGTTACCAGGGGCTTGGGTTGATCAAATTCCACATCCAAATTTCCATTTTATGTCATTTTCTTTCTGCCCGAAGGACTTCTTTTAGCATTTTTTGTAGTGCAGGTCTTCTGGTGATAAATTCTTTCAGCTTTTGTATGAGTTATGATTAAGAAAGTCTATTTCATTTTTGCTTTTGAAAGATATTTTCACTTAGTACAGAATTCTAAGCTGACCGTATTTTTCTTTTTTAGTAGTCTGAAAATGTTGCTGCACCATCTTTTGGTTTGCACTGTTTCTGAAGAGAATTCTGTGATCGTTACTATTTTTGTTCCTCTGTACATAATGTGTCTTTTTTTCTCTGGCTGCTTCTTAAATTTTCTCTTTATCACTGGTTTTAAGGGATTTAATTTTTATGTGCCTTGGTGTGCTATTTCTTGGGCGTGGATTTTATTGAGCTCCTTGAATCTGTGGCTTTAGTTTTCATCAAATTTAGAAATTTTTCATTCCTTATTTCTTCAGATATTTCTTGCTCCTCCCTCTCTCTCTCTCTTCTCTTTTGGGGACTCATACATTGGGACATTTGAGGTTGTCCTACAGCTCACTGATGCTCAGTTCATTTTTTCCAATCTTTTTCTCTCTGTGCTTCATTTTGGATGGTTTCTAGTGCTATGTCTTCAGGTTCACTAATCCTTTCTTCTGCATTGTCTAATCCCACCCAGAGTATTTTTCACCTCAGACATTGTAGTTTTCATCTCTAAAGTCTGATTTAGATCTTTTTTTTTAATCTACCATGTCCAGTAGTGTGCCAGTAAAGAAGCTCTCCAAAAATTTTTTTAAAAGGCCTGATTTGCAGTGTTTGCCAATTCCATGTGTAAACACTCCAACTATAGCCAATTCCAAGCTACCAATGAATTAACAACTGGCTAGTAAAATTCCTGGTCATTTAACAATTGGCTCTGGGCCGGCCCAGTGGCGCACTGCTACAGTGCACCGCTTGGGAGCGCTGCGACGCTCCCGCCGAGGGTTCGGATCCCACATACAGACCGGCCACTCACTGGCTGAGCGAGGTGCGGGCGCAACACCAAGGTTTGCGATCCCGTTGCCGGTCCCGGTCCGGTACGGGCACGACACTGAGGGTTGCGATCCGTTGCCGGTCACGAAAAAAGACAAAAAGGAAAAAAAAAAATTGGCTCTTATAAGCTGGTATGAGCAGGTTTTACCCCATACTCAATCTTTCTTTTAACTTTTTTAACATATAGAATATGGCTATAAAAACTTTTAAGGTAAGGGTGGAGGGGTCCAGGAGCTGAGAGCCTCAGCAAAGCCCCTCGATGTTCAAATATAGCCCAGCAACAACCGAGCCACCACCAGAAACCCCCGGGGCTCCTGAGCAGGAGTTGGGGGGTGGCCCACGGGCCTCATCCATATGCACCGCCCTCCGCAACCAGGCCAGTGAAGGAGCCAGCCATGGGCCAGCCCTGCCCTCTCACCCCACCTTCATTTCCCTACCCTTCTACCTCCTCCCCCTCCACTGCTCTGCAACATCTTAGAATATAAAAAAAGAAGAAATAAATAACTTTTTAAAAAGAAACGCTTCTTAAACTTAATAATGACAGTCGTTATCACTCAACCTTGCTTTTCCCTGTTGCAAAAGCTCCTTCGTTCTCACTGGACTTGTTTTCAGTAAGTTTAATCTTGTCTGTCATTTTTCTCTCTTTTCCCATTTCTGTACACCCTTCTTAAAAGTGTGGGCCAAAACTGGATTCGATATTTCTCAACTCAAATATACTTCAGTGTGATATATATCTAAATTATTTATGAAAACTATTGAAAATCATATGTAATTTAATATATATCTTAAAAGTTTTCAAAAGTAGATGAAAAAAACTTTTAATGTTTTTTGCCTACAGATTCTATCATCTGCATCATTGCTAGGTCTGCTTCTGCTTATTATTTTTGTACCCTCCATGGGTCATATTTGCCTGCTTCTTTGCATACCTAGTAATTTTTGATTGGATGACAGAATTTTATATTTTACCTTATTATTTCCTGTATATTTTTGCATTTCTTTAAATATCCTTGAGCTTCATTCTGGAATGCAGTTAAGTTACTTGGATACAATTTAAACCTTTTAAGTCTTGCTTTTAAGCTTTGTTAGGTAGCACCAGAGCAGCCTTTAGACAAAAGCTAATTCTTCCTACTACTAAGGCAATTACCTTCTGAGTCCTATGCCTGATGTCCCATGAACTGTGAGGTTTTTCCACTCAGGCTGTATGAAACATGAAGGGAATTGTTCTCTTTGCTTCTTCAAGTATTTTCCTTCTCCAGCCTTGAGCACTTTCTTCACAGGTGCACTATTGAATATTAATCCAAAGACTCAAGGGGGTGCCCTCTGCAGATCTCTTGAAGACATCCTTCAGTGTAGCTTTTATCTCTGCAGTAATTTGCCTCGTGAACTCTAGTTGCCTTGGCCCTCCTGGACTCCCAACTCTTAGTCTCCCCAACTCAAGGAAACCACCAGGCTCCACCTAAGTTACCCTTCACCACACTAGACCTAGACACTCTCTCAAGGTAATAAGCTGAGGCAAGAGCCATTGGGGACACACCTCTTTTTTTCCCTCTCTCAAGGACCACTGTCCTGCACTGCCTGATGTCCAATATCGGAGAATTGGTTTTTTCATACGTTTGTCCAGTTTTTTAGTTGTTCCAGGTGGGAAGGTAAATCCAGTCCCTATTACTCCACCTCACCCACAGGAATATATAAATAGAGGAGACTTTTGTCTCTGATGAGTTTGTAGAGCTACATACATACCAGGCCTGGACTTCTTTTACTTAAGAGCATAATCCCCAAATTTAAGAACATATGACCCATGATGGTACATTATGCAGCCAATTGCAATTACAAATTGATATTAAAAGGATTGCACAGCTATATATTTTTTAAAAGCAGCTGTTTAAGTTTTTATTTGTATTTATTTTGTGGGGTACAGTGTGTTACTTCAATACATGCATACAATGCACAATGATTCATTTAGGGCAGATAGCATAGTTCTGTACCATTAGGCCACCCCTTCTCCTCTTCCCCACCCACCTCCCCTCCCAGCCTCTGGTAACCATTATTCTACTTTCTACTTCTATGAGAAACACTTTTCTTCTTTTCTTTTCTTTTTTTAGATTCCACATATGAGTGAGACCATGCTGTACTTGTTTTTCTGTGCCTGACTTACTTCCCTTAACATGATGGTTTCTACTTCCATCCATGTTGCTGCAAATGACAGGATTTCATTTCTTTTTATAGCTGAATAGCATTGTATTGTGTATATATATCACAGGTTTTTTATTTATTTTTATTCATGTTTTTTTTTTTTTAAAGATGACCAGTAAGGGGATCTTAACCCTTGACTTGGTGTTGTCAGCACCACACTCTCCCAATTGAGCCACAGTATTTCAATCAGTTCATCTGCTGATGGGCATTTAGGTTGATTTCATCTCTTGTCTATTGTGAACAACAGTATGATGAACATGGGAGTGCAGGTGTCTTTTTGATACATTGATTTCATTTCCTCTGGGTATATACTCAATAGTGGGAATAACTAGGTTGTAAGATAGATCTATTTTTGCTTCTCTGAGGAATCTCCATACTGTTTTCCACGATGGCTGTACCAATTTACATTCCCACCAACAATGTATGAGAGATCTCTTTTCTCCACATCCTCACCAGCGTTTGTTATTTTCTGTCTTGTTGATAATAGTCATCCTAACTGGAATGAGATGATTCTTCATTGTGGTTTTAATTTGCATTTCCTTGATAACTAGTGATTTTGAGCATTTTTTCATGTGCTCATTGGCCAATTGTATGTCTTTTTTTGAGAAATATCTGTTCAGGTCCTTTACCTATTTTTTAATTGGGTTGTTTGCTTTTTCGCTATTGAGTTGTTTGAGTTCCTTATATATTCTGGATATTAGCCCCTTGTCTGATCTGTGCTTTGCAAACACTTTCTCCCATTTTGTAGGTTGTCTCCTCACTTTGTTGATAGTGCCCCTTGCGTGCAGAAGCTTTTTTTGTGTACTTTTGCTTTAGCTGCCTTTGCCTTTGTGGCCTCTTCAAAAATGTGCTGCCCACTCGCATTTTGTGTAGCATTTCTAGTAGTTGCACAGTTTCAAGTCTTAAATTTAGGTCTTTAATCCATTTGGAGTTGAATTTTGTGTATGGTGAGAGACAGAGGTTTAATTTCAATCTTCTGCATGTGGATATGCAGTTTTCCCAGCACCATTGATTGAAGAGGCCATCCCTTCCCCACTATATATTCTTGGCACCTCTGTCAAAAATCAGTTGGCTATAACTGCACGGGTTTGTTTCCGGGCTCTCTATTCAGTTCCATTGGTCCATTTGTCTATTTTTAGGCTGCTACCATGCTGTTTTGGTTACTATAGATTCACAATATATTTTGAAGTCAGGAAGTGTGATGCCTCCAACTTTGTTCTTTTTGTTCAAGATTGCTTTACCAATATATGGTCTTTTGTGGCTCCATATAAATTTTAAGATTTTTTTTCTATTTCTGTGAAGAATGTCATTGGTATTTTGAGAGGGATTGAGTTGAATGTACAGATCGCTTTGGGTAAAATGGACATTTTGATGATGTTAATTCTTAAAACTCATGAACATGGAATATTTTCCATTTACTTGTGTCCTCTTCAATTTTTTTCACCACTGTTTTACAGTTTTCATGTTTCACCTGCTTGATTAAATTTATTCCTAGGTATTTCATTTTTGGGTGGTTATTGTGAATGGGATTACTTTCTTGATTTCTTCTTCAGCTATTTCGTTATTGGTGTATAGAAAGGCTATTGATTTTTGTGTATTGATTTTGTATCCTACCGCTCTACTGAATTCATTTATTAGTTCTAGTAATTTTTCGGTGGAGTCTTTAGGGTTTTTTATGTACAGGACCATGTCCTCTGCAAATAGGGATAGTTTTACATCTGTTTAAATAACTGATGTATTATGACAATTAGATAGAAGTAAACTATTTGAGGAAAGGGTCATTTATCTAATTCACACAAAGGAACTACGTGGGGGCCCTGCCAACACCAGAAATAAGTGAGAGTGATTTTCCCCATAAAAACAAGTCAAATTTGTCTTATTAGAAAAAAAATGGATCTAGAACCTATGTACGATGTGAGTGTTATTGACTATTTAAGGTCTAGCCAAATGCCTTTACTATTTTTGTTTTAAAGAAACAGATGACTTTCTACTGTACTCATTTTAAAAAAGAAAAAAAACCAATTTGATGTTTATAGTTTATTACAACCATTTACAGTCAAGAGATTGCTGAAAAGGGGGTGGGAAGAGAATGAGGTAATAAAACAAGTGGCAAATATAAACAGCTGAAAGAGAAAGACAATTAAAGGAAAGACAGAAAAAAAATGTACTTAGCGGAACAAGGAGAGAAAACAGCACAGGATCAGTCTCTTCCAGAAGTATAACTACTTTGTAACAATTTAGAACATCAAAAGTGTTCAAAACCCTCCTGTGTTTTCCCAACCATAGGTATAAACAGGTGTAAAAATAGGAATATCACTTGCTGAAAAGGTTGGAGGTTTCTCACTCCAATTATAAGGTAATATATTTCCACTAAATTCAACTGATACGTTATAACTGTTTAGGAAAATATGTCTGATTCAAAACCAGAAACCACAGCATCTCATCATTTCATGTTTTTACTGCTATATTAATAAAACGTGACAATAAGGAGATATTTCAGAGTAAAATCACTTTTTACCTTACCAAATAAGATGCAGAGTAGTGCAGGACCACAAACTGTCTTGGGAATAGTTTTTATTGAATAATATATTTGAGTGCCAGACTATCTCATTACCCCTTTTCTTGAACTAAACTGCAACCACCTCTACCACCTGCCCAACCTTAGCTACTGCAAAATGGAGGCAGTTCTAACAAGAGTTGGCAAGACCTTGGAAGTGTTTCATTAGGGGTCTTCATTTTTTTCTCTGTATTGGTAAACAAACTCATCAACTTTGAATCTCTACTTTGTGGCTTAGAATTTATGGAATGGAATAAGAATGCCAATTTTTATCACCTTCTGGAAAGATTACATTTTCTTCTGAAAAAATCGTTTGTGATTATAATTGAGGTTATTGATCGCAGATCCTCCGTGGTTGTCTTACTTGCACTGTCTCCTTAAAGTTAATCAGTGCTCCATCCCCAGGGAAAGGAGCACAAATTCCTACTCAGCTAGAGGCACAATTTGTGCAGGAAAAATATAACCAAAAAATAAAATAAAATAACATAGCCTCATATCTTCAAGATAAGAGAGAGAAATAAATCTGACATACCCATAGTTTTCAGTAAATTCACAGAATGAAGAGGGTCTGTAATGCCAAGGATCATGCTAAAGAGTAGGCCAGATTGAAAATCCCACGACTCTCCAATGAATTTCAGAACCACGTATCCAGTTGTGAGTAATGCTATAATAAAGCTAATGAATCCAATTAACAAGAGCTGTGAACCAATTCAGAACACAGTATTAGGTTTAACATCTAAAGATGGCATGACTGCATTTACTTATGTCCTAAGAATCAGATCTTAGTTATGTATTTTATTTCATTATATTTTTTAAGCATGGAATATCTCAATTAATTTTATTTTTTATTGAAGCATAATTGGTTGTACTTGTTTGTGGGGTACAAAGTTGATTATCAGTAGCTGTATACAATGTATGATAGTCAAATCAGGATAGTCAGTTTATTCATCATTATAATATGTAATCATTTTTTTGGTTATGTATTTTATGCAATTTCTCTGAAAGATAACTTTAAAAGGTATTCTAACCTAACTATCTGCCTCAAACGAACCATCCCTTTCAAACAAGATTCTTCTTTATTATTTAAAAGACCAATTCTACTATCTTTCTGGTTGCTGTTCTGCTTTAACAGTTCTCAATATCAAAACATTCTTAAAATGGACTGCAAATTTCTCCTGCTTCTGTATAAAACACATCATGTATTCTTCATTTGAAAGTAAATCATTACTGACAAACTGTGTCCGGTACATGATACAAATTTAAATACCAAGACTCTAAAATATTCAAAGAAGGGCCGGCCCGGTGGCGCACTGGATAAGTGCGCCACTTAGGAAGCGCGGCGGCACTCCCGCCCGAGGGTTCGGATACCACATACAGACCGGTTCCCGCTCACTGGCTGAGCGAGGCGTGGGAGCAACGCCGAGGGTTGCGGTCCCGTTGCCGGTCCCCGGTCCGGTGCGGGGGCAACACTGAGGGTTGCGATCCATTGCTGGACACGGAAAAAGACAAAAGACAAAAAAAAATAAAATAAAATATTCAAAGAAGATTCCCCCTTTTGCCTTTAATTGTAAAATAAATAGTTTCACAATAGGGAGGAGAGAGGCCATGAAATACTTGAGATTAAGTGATTTATTTATACAGTTTTGTAATTTCTATGAACACATTGTTTATGCCCAAGTATAAGGAAATATATATTTTCCAAAATTATCTCTCAGGAAAAAAAATAGTTGTGTTATTCAATCCTTTTTTTATCTTCCATCTCTGTTTTTGTTCTGTTTTCTGTGAGATTTCCAGAACTTTCCCATTAAAACCTTTTACTGAATTAGTTTATTTTAGCTATCATATTTTCAATTTTCAAATTTTCTTTCTGGTTCTTTGTTTCTTTTTATAATATCATGATCTCATTCCTTATCATTTCTGTAAGGCTATTAATTATATATATTTGGAAGTTTTCTTCTGTCTCTTATTTTTATCATGAATAAATGTTAATTTTTATCAAATGTTTTTTCTTTATCTATTGTGATATCATATGGCTTTTCTCCTTAAATCTCTTAAGGACATGAATTACATTAAGAGATTTTTTTTTCCCCCCAGTTTTTACAACTGTATTTTTTTTTTTCGTTTAAATTTTTATTTTGTCAATATACAATGTGGTTGATTATTATGGCCCATCACCGAAACCTCTCTCCCTCCTCCCTCTCCCCCCTCCCACCCAAGAGTGTCCTTTCCGTTTGCTTGTTGTAACAACTTCAAAAAATTGTAGTTATTATATCCTCCTCCCCTCCCCCCGGTTTTTTTTTTTGTGTGTGTGTGTGTGTGTGAGAAAATTAACTTATCCATTTCTAGCTCCCACCAATAAGTGAGAACATGTGGTATTTCTTTTTCT